TAGGGCAACACCACACCACACGCACACACATTCAATCTTACACACGCACACAAACACACCTATGTACACTCACACAAACACAATATAAAGACCCTCCTTGGTCTCTCCAGGTAAATGCACATGTGTTTCCCATACACATATGCACAGCGGCGTCATGTCCTGGGCCACATTCTACACCTACAGGCCCATAGACATCCAAAATGCCACCTCAGCCTTCTAAACTCTTCTACTCCCAGGGCCCTGGGAGGTCACGCCTGGGCTCCCAGCTCCCCTAGGAGGCAGACAGCGATCCTGTGTGTGCATGGTAGGCATTCAAGTGGAGGGCACCTGCCCTGTGACCCCTGCAGGTTCTCCCAGACAGAGGCCCTGGTACCTAGAGGTGGCTCCAAGGACTGAGCATCTGGGGTGAGGTAGAGCGACAGCTTCATGGTCCAAAATCGAACCTCTCCCCTGCCCCAAACCTGGAAAGAATCCGCACCACTAACGAGGAGCCCCACATCACCTACCCCACCCCAAGAGTGAGAACCACCCACCTGCTCCTCCACAAGGGAAGGTCCCACCTAGACCGTTCCCCACATCTGGAGAGTCTCACACCTTGAAACACCCCAGCCCTCCAGGGCCCCCACCCCTCTTCCCCTGACCAGCCATGCACAGCCACCGCCAGCAGGGTGCCCGCGATGGCCCTGTCACCCTGGGGTGGCTGCCCCTACCTCCTTCTTCACGGTGCGCAGCAGCCTCTGGCGGGTCTCGGCCTCTGCGGGACAAGCAGGGAAGCGCGGTGAGCAGCGCCGAGGCCATGGGGCCTGGCCGCCCTCCCGCCGCCCGCCCGTGCTTACCCGCAGGGACAGAAGCCATGGCTCGTGCTGGTCGGTGGCCGGTGCGTCCCGGCTCCGCGCCCTACTGCAACCGTGAGGGGCGGGGCCGGCGGCAGATGAATGACAGCCCAGGACGTGGACGTCAGAACCCTCCCACCAGTCCGCCCCGCCCGCGCGCGCGCGAGAGAGAGCTCAGCGCCGCCTCCTGGACAAACTATGGCAGATAGCTTCCTTGCAGGTCTCCTCCAGGACAGCATCCTCACCCCTGTCTCCTCCAGGGCATCCGCACCATCCCCCAGCCTCCTCCAGGACACACACCATCCTCACAGGCCTCCTCCATGGCATGAGCATCATCCCGCGCCAAGCTGCCAAGGGTAACCTAAGATGGGGCGCCGGGGTCCACACCCTGTGTCTCCATCCATGCATATTTAAAATGGGGCAAAGCCAGACGTGGGGGCACGCACCTATCATCTCGTCAATGGGGAGACTGAGGCAGGGGGCTCAGCCTGGGCTACATGGTCCTGCCTCCACGATAATTCATCCTGTATAAAGTGGGTATACGCTCTAGAGTGATCTGATCATCAAGCAAGATACCGGAGAAAAAAGCGTGGTGGCCATAAAGGGTAGCTACTGCTGTGGCTTCATAGGCTCCTTCGCCCCCTTCCTTTTTTAGACTCTGCTGAGATACACTGGCTCTCCCCTGGAAGAGGCCAGCCTCTTGAGTGGCCCCCTCCCCTACACCGGGAACTAGGGTTCAGTCCTTTAGATTTCCACTCCTGCACAAAGCTCCCGTCAGCCAGGATCTCTAGCTCTGGGTAGGACAAAGGTTTGTTCCACACCAGACCTTCACCAGCTACCTCCTAAATCCCACACGGCGGCCTCCAGAATGCAAATCAGGTCCACAAATCTTCACCGAGCACCTACAACGTGCCGGGTCACAGGGTGGGGAGTTTGGAGCAAAGGAGACGGACACATAGCTGTGGCACTCGGACGGTAGACACATGTCTGAGTGAGCGACAGTGAGTCGGAAGGTTCTGGAGAGGAGTGCAGTACTCACAGGAGAGGTACCACTGAGCGGAACTGCCACATGAAACAGGGAAGCTGTGTTTTCTCACTGAGCAAAGAGGAAAAGGAGGAGGCTGGGGAGGCTGGGGGAAGAAGAGCCCTTGAGGTGAAGGAATAGCAAGATTACAGGCCCTGAAGTTGGGATGTGCCTGCCCGGATGACAGCCCGGAAGGAGGTCAGTGGCATGGGGTGGCAAAGCAAGATGGACCGCGGTACAAATGGGCCAAGACCCTGTAGGCTCCTGGAGGCCGATAAACTGAATCGGCAATGTCTCCACCCCCAGCCTCCATCCAGAAGAACCAGGGGGAAAGCCCAGGGCTTGTAGCAATGGCCCCAAGAGCTCCTCTTAGGTGTGGCGGTAAGGTTTCAGTCACAAGTCTCCCCTCACCCTCTCCAGTGAGCTGTGCTTGGTGCCTCCAGGATGCCAGAGAATGGGAAATAAGACCTTGACCAAAAATAAATAAATAAAGTTTAACTGAGGACTTACTATGTGCCGAGCTCTGGTGGCATAAGCTCACCGATTCCCTGCCCCCACTCTCCAAGACCCTCACACCCAGAAAGCCAAGCCCAAACCTTGAGAGAGTTTTCTTCAGGTCCATACGGCAAGCAAGCAACAGCAGAAAGTCATGGACCAGGTGGCTCTCCTCACTGGGGCATGCTAAGTAGACCAGGGTGAGTGGGAACTGGGTGCTTAACCCTCAATCTAAAAACATCAAATCAGAGGTTTCTCTTCTCTGCCCCAAGCCCTGCAAAGCTTCTTGGGCTGACCCTCGAGGACGTAGAATTTTCCTCTAGTATAAATGGTTATCTAGCTCCATAGCAGTAGGCATGGAGGGGACCAGGCATGGCCTTGGGTCTGAATCTGGAGACTGACATCCTGTCCTACTTAGGGTTACTATCACTGTGATGAAACACCATGTCCAAAAGCAAATTGGGGAGGAAAGGGTTTATTTGGCTCACACTTCCACATCACTGTTCAATTACTGAAAGAAGTCAGGGCAGGAGCCTGGAGGCAGGAGCTGATGCAGAGGCCATGGAGGGGTGCTGCTTACTGGCTTGCTCCCCATGGCTTGCTCAGCCTGGTTTCTGATAGAACTCAGGACCACCAGCCCAGGGGTGGCCTCACCTACAGTGGGCTGGACCCTCCCCCATCAATCACTAATTAAGAAAATGCCCTACAGGCTGTGTGCCGCTCCATCTTACGGAGACATTTTCTCAATTGAGTCTCCCCCGTCTCTGGTGTTTATACCTTGGGCCAAGTTGACATAAAATTAGCCAGAACAACTGACCCCTTGTCAATGTGACACACACACACACACACACACACACACACACACACACACACCACTGTGAGGCCACAACCTTTCCTTTCTTGTTCATCCCCAAGAGCACACATTAACATGAACACAACAATGTGAAATATTCCAAGTCTCCCAAGTCCCACAGTCTTTACAAATGCAAGCATTTAAAATTCAGTCTATTTCAGAACCCACAGCCTCTTTTAGAACCTAAAATCTCTTTTAAAATTCAGGCTTTCAACTGTAGGCTCCTATAAAACCAAAAAATAAAGTTTCTCATTTCAAGAGGGAAGAGCCAGGGCACAGTCACAACCGGAACAAAGCAGAACCAAACTCTAACTGTGCCAATAATTCACTGTCTAGTATCTGGGATTCACTCGCCATCTTCTGGCCTCCTCCAAGGGGCCTGGGTCACTTCTCCGGCTCCGCCCTCTGCAGCACACACAGCTTGTCTTCTAGGCCCTGGCTCCACTCCACAGCTGCTGTTCTTGGTGGTCGTCCACGGTACTGGCATCTCCAAAATGCTGGGGTCTCTGCCGCAACTGGGCTGCACTTTCATCAATGGCCTCTCCTGGGCTCTCTTCAGGGACTCCAGCCCCGCCACACAGTGCCAAGCCTCAGCTGCTCTCCATGACCCTTTCATGTTTCCAAAACCAGCACCACCTGGGTGACTCTTACACGACCAAGTCCAGCTGCCAGCACGAGGTGCAACCTTGGCTGCCTCTGGACACAGCTTCAGTGTGCTGACCCCGAGGAAACACTTCCTAGAAAAGACTTCATCTCGGTGATGCTGGTCTCAATCACAGCTGATTCTTCAGCCCCCGAGGACCAGACACCACAGGATCTTAATTCAAAATAACAGCTGGCCTGAAACTTCACGAGCCAGGCCTCCATCATCCACACTGCTCTCAACATTCTTATCTTCCAAGCTCCTCGGAACAGCTCACTGAACTCTCAACACTCAATGGCTTTTCTAGTCCAATGTTCCAAAGTCCTTCCACAATCCTCTCCCAAACATGGTCAAGTCTGTCACAGTAACACCCCACCATTGCTGGTACTGACTGTCTTCTGTTGGTCATGGTGTTTATCACAACAGTAGTAACCTAAGTTGGGGAGGAAAGGGCTTATTTGGCTCACACTTCCATATCACTGTTCATCATTGAAATAAGTCAGGGCAGGAACTCAAGCAGGGCAGGAACCTGGAGGCAGGAGCTGATGCAGAGGCCATGGAGGGGTGCTGCTTACTGGCTTGTTCCCTGTGGCTTGCTCAGCCTGCTTTCTTATAGAACCCAGGACCACCAGCCCAGGAATGGCACCACTCACCATGGGCTGGGCCCTCCGCCATTGACCAATTAAGAAAATGCCCTGCGGCGTGATCTTATGGAGGCGTTTTTGTTTTTTTTTTCAAGGCGTTTTCTTAATTGAGGCTCCCTCCTCTCTGAGGACTGTGGCTTGTGTCGTTGACATAACAGTACCCAGCTCACACCTTCCCCGAAGCTGGAGAACCTTTAGGAAAGCTTTCTCATAGCCCAGAGACTTCTCCGGGGGCCCCACGGAGCAGTTGGCGGCAGGAGCCCATGTCTGCAGCGCCCTCTAGAGAGGAACATGGGCATTACGTTCAGCACTAACGAGAGGCGCTTCAACCCGACAGGAAGGAGCTCCTTGCTGTCTCGGTCCCGTTGTCGCAGAGAACATGGTCTCGCAATTCACAACAGCTGCGACTTGCTGATGAGACCAACACCGTGCCGCGAATGCCACGCACGTTGTCTCATACAAGCTGCCAACCAACTCCACGCAGGGTCCTCCAGAGAAAGCCTGTAAGACCCACGGCAGAGAGCACGGGAGGCCGACTGCAGGGTGAGGCAGGAGTTCTCAGTGCGGAGGAACCCCAGGTAGCTTGCCTCGCTGCCGGGGTGGGTACTCGAAGGTGCACCCAGACGGGAGCAGGTCGGGCATTCCTCGGAGCGTGCTAAGTAAGATGGATACTAGACTCCACGGGGCCGGAAGCTGGCCGCCTTCCCTAGTGTGGGCGAGCCTTGTGCAAGCAGCTGGAGACCTGGAGGGGAGAACATGGCAGAGGAACATGACTCAGGCAAGGACAATTGAATTTTTTTTTTTTTTTGGCATTGGATTTGAACCAGAATTTTGGCCCTGCATGGGTGCCAGCTTGTCAAACACGGAGTGGAGCTGAGCCAACACCAGCCTGCCCCCAACTCCAGGTCGCTAGCCACAGAGCTTGGACACCTCAGCTTCCACTGGTGTGTGAGCTGATGTTTACCAGTCTCTCTTCATGTCCGTGTATGTGGGGTCTGCCTCTGCAGGTCGCCCCACCTGTGAATTTAACCAACTATGGATAGGAAGGAATTGACCACGGCCGCTTCTGTGCTGAACACGCGCGAGCTGTCTTCTCATCATTATTTCTTACCCGGTACTGTCCAGCGTCTATCACATGCCATTCACGCTGCTTTAAGTGTTAGAGATCACATAGAGACGACAAGGGATATACGGGAGGGTGTGTGCACAGAACCTACACAGGTATGATGCCAGCCATACAAGGGACGGGAGCGCCGAGGATTTGGTGTTTGTAAACACACCTGGAACCCATTCGCTGTGGATCCCGAGGATGGCTGTATATTTGTACGAGTATATGTTACATGTATACATTGCACATACACACATGGAGATGTGTGCACCTCATCTGTTCTGTTTCTCTGGAGAAGACAGAGTAATACACTTGTCACTCAAT